AAACATCGGTTTTGAGGGATAACATTCGTCGCAATTGGCCGATTAGACTCCACTTGCGAGGAGAGACAATGTGCAAGTGTACTTCGAGCTTGCCGGTTGGGTGACTCAATTTGGCGCCTTTAATTTGGGCGGCGAAACAATCAGCTTCTTTCTGTACGATGCCTGTACAGACAGCATTACCTAACCGCTTGGAGTTCAGGTATGCTTTAACGGTATCAGGAGGTATAGTGTAAAACTTATGTTTCAACTTGGGTGGTGTCCTTTCGCCAAACATGACAACCGGATACACTGTTGAGCCCATCTCCATTTAATAAGACACTGATAAGTCTGAAAAGCATTTTTGTATGTCTTCTGTTGATGACTTTGCAGACCACTCTTAGATTTGGCACATTTGCAATGGTGTGCTGAAACTTTTCTTCGAATATACTTCTTGAATAACTTTTCAGCCTCATATGAACATCAAATCACGACAGTTGCCTCTTTGAGGTACAACTTTTTATTTCGCACGAGGAGGCGAGTGGAAGTATTCCAAAATTGGCCTCACCGGAAGTCGAAAGAGTATTGTCTTGGAGCTAAGACTGTAGGTTTTGTGAGTAAGTCCTCAATGCGCCGTTCCACTAGCCAGCTTTCTTCCTCCTCACCCTGACAGAATCAGCCAGAGCAGAAAGCCACTATCCCGAAGACAAAAAGGGTACCTGACTTTGTCCATCTCATGACTTATTTGAAGGACTGGCAGCTGAAGGTTCCAACCTTGCTTCGAAAAAAGTTACCATAAGCCAAGTTCGACTGCCCACTGTTGACTTCAACTGGGCTTCATTAGCGCCAACGACGCTAATTGAACCCGGCTAGTACAGCTTTTCAGTACCACTACGCTGGTGAGGTCGAGACTGCAGTTCAGCCTCGATGAGGACATCTTTTGGGAAACAAGCTATTTGAGCTTCCATGGAAGCCTATGGCCTACTCTCGACATTGTGAGAAGATTTACTATCGATTCTGTATCACTTTATGCGACCCAGAGGCCAACTTAAACAAATTCAACCTTCCTTAGAGTCTTGCAAAAAGTGAAGTGACTACAGACGGCATACATTCAGTCGAGTCAAATAGGGCCGAAAACCTGTAGCCCCTATTCGGACTCGTACTTCTGATCCTTTAATGTTGTCGCTTGTAATTGCCTTCCTTTGCATGCAGGACTCGTGTTTCGCGTAAAGTGTGAGAGTGCAAACCAGCTTAGAGGCCAAGCAAGTCTTCTCCTCCTGTTCGGCCGTATTACTTGTTCCCCTCCTCACACAGCCCCAAGTGATTTCCACTAAGTTCTGCCTATTTAGATTATTGCTTTTTAAAGACTTCTTTGTCTCTTGTTTCCTTGTCTACTCCCCACTTCCTGCCAAGCCTTCAGCGTAATACCAGTCCATCTGGTGTCATATGCGGACCATGTGTTTAGCCAGTTCTGATTGTTTCATCCCCAAGGCACTGAAGACTATTTATATTAAGACAACCTCTTTTGTATGGGTCGGCAGGTCTCCCCCACCGCGACACTTTCGCTCAAACACAAGACCTTGCAGCGGGCCGATCGGGAAATGGGGTCGGGAATAGTCTAGAAAAGATGGCATTACCGAGGAGAGTGTAATTTTCTTTTGATGCTCCATTTGCTCACGTCGCTCTCGATAGCTGACACAATCGCAGCAATAGGATCGTAGTAAGGTGGTACAGTCGTTTATCTTGTTCCAAATGCATGTTTCCCTCCATCCGAAATGCCAACATTCCAAAATAATTGCCAATTTGTCCTAATGGATAATTATTCTCGACTAAATTCTTTGAAAACAAACTTTTCTTCATGTTTAGTCGTCTTGCTTGTCTGAAACACGTACGAGTTTTCAACCAAACTCTCTTGTTAGTCTCTTAGCTGGCATTGCTGCAAATGATGGTGTTTTATCCCTTAACAAAACTTTCATTTGGCATCACCTCGAACCATTCTAGTATTTATGTATCGTTTATAAGTAGATAATAGAGACTAACAGTAGATAATTTATATATAAAGTCAGTTAGTTGAATTCTCTCTCAATCATATGAGCAGGCCTCAATCGAAGATATGAAAACCAAGATGGTGTGTGTGGCCATTAGTATGGTCACGGACTCCTTTCATTGTATAGTAGATGTTTGACCTTGTTTTCGCAATTTGGTCATATTGACATGAAGACCTAAAGGAACGTACCTAATCCGGAGTCCATAGTGTGCATGATACTTTCCAGAGTCGGACCATAGACTTAGTATGTTCCCAGACGTTTCGCCGGCATCGTAGCCAATCTAAGCACCACACCACAACTCGTCAAGTGACAAGTGATGTCAATCCCTTGACCAACACAAATCATATATCTCCAAAACCTATTCAATAACGAAAAAAGTAATGTCTTCGATTGCTATAACAAATAGAGGTTTGCTTCTTCAACAATCCCAATACAAAATGTGATATGGAAAATACCTGACCGTCCTTGAAATTCACATCAAGAGCACTCGTGGCAATGTGGCGGGGTAGCTAACGTGTCCAGCTTATACACTGCACTGTCATGGTTCGAGTACCGCTGGAGGTGTTGATAAGACATGGACGTGGTCGGAACTGCGGTCCACTTCAGCCCAGATGGGGACACCTTTTGACGCAGCAATGCTACGTGAAATGTAATGGAAACATCAACTCTACTCATATCATTGTGGAAAAATTCAAATTCTTATCCTTAATTACCTTAAACGAAATATAGTGAACACAACTCATACATGCAAGACATTTTGGTATCTCTCATTCTTTC